CTCTTGGCCGGGTCACTTTGTAGGCGTGGTGACAGCCCTCTCTCTGCCCGCAGGCGTGCCCTCAGCGAGGCCATCGGGAGGACTGCCCTCAGAGCCGGCGCTGACCTAGGGACCTGTTTTGTGTCAGACTGTGATGTCCGGGGGAGCTGCTCACCCTCGTCCCTTGTGCCCGGCACCACGTGTGGCTCAGACGCACACACGGCCACTTTTTGATTTTCCGTTGAGCAGTTGAAAACAAGAATTCATAATGACAGTGACAATAGCTGCTAACACCGGAGCACTGAGCCAGTGCCAGGCCCTGTGCCAGGACCATTACGCACGCCAGACCATCCGATCCTCAGCCACTGCCTGCGCTGCCTCTGTCCCTGGCCACAGTGACAGCTCCCTCCATTCTGTGGTTGGGCAGTGGTGCTTCTTGGGGATGGAGCTGCGACCGAGCATGTCCCAGCCCGGGAACAGTGGGTTTGTCTGAGGACAAAGGAGGAAGGAGGGACAGGCCCTGCGCCCTGTTCCTCCCGCTCCGCGGCCATGGATTATCTTCAGAGCGGGGAGTTGGAACCGCGGACCATGCACTGTGGCCGCCATGCGTCCTGGGGCCCAAGGTCCCCTCCGCAGACTTGGAGGAAACCTGGGAAGCTCCAGGAGCCGGGCCATGGGGCGCAGCTGTGCTGGGTGACATGTTTTGTAAGTAGGTCATAGAAAAGGAAGTCAGGCCCCAAAGGCTGCCTCCCACAGTGTGTCAGAAGGAGGTGTGACGCTGAGCTCCGCGGGGGCACCGGCTGCCGGCTCCGGGTGTGTGCTGTGAGCTGTTTGGCTGACGGAGCCAGGGGCCCGCGTGTTCTCCCCGTTGCTGGTTTGTGTGTAGGGCACTCACGCACCTGGGCTCGGCCCAGACTGACGGTGTGCGACTGTGTTCACCCATGGCAGCAAGGCCGCCACCACCTACGGGGCTTGCCATGCACGCCCAGCTCAGCCTGGTGAACCCTCACGCGTTCTTGCAATCCTGGCAGCCCCCCCGGAGGTGGGGTTGTTTAGAGTTTTAGCGTGGTTTTTTTTTTTTTTTTTTTTGTCTCTTACTTGGTTTCTGGGGTAGACATTGCGGGAGGGTTTGGGAGGGCAGATCCAGGAATAGGAACACGACAGCGAGGAGCCAGGAGGTGCAGCCGTCTTTCCTGCGTGGGCACGGGGTCCCGTCCTCCCTCCCAGGGGCGAGAGGCGGCGGTTGATTAGTGTTGCTGAAACGCAGCGCAGTTAATCCCTTTCCGGTTTTCTGGCAACTCCGGGGCTTAGGCGAGCCCGTCCATCTTTAGTCTCAGGTCCGTTGTAAAATCACGATTTCTATCTCGGGACAGTTGTGCGAACACATTAGTCGGCTTAAATTATTTAAAGTGATCATGGAAAGGTCTTATTTCTATTGCCTGCCCTGGTTCCCTGTAGCAATTTCACGAGAATTCATGTCAAAAATAGAAAAGGGAAAATGACTTTTAAACAGCAGTTTGGCATCTACGAGCATGATTTAACCTTGCAATATTTCTCCTACTGCACCATTCAGGCCACGCTTTCCAGAATGTTCTTTCCCGGGGAGCCAGGCAGCGTATCCGGAGCCCCAGGGCGGGGGTGCCCACTGCGGGTGAGGGGCGTTAAGCTCTCACGGGTGCTCTTGTCAGGGAGTGGAGGTGACAGCTAATTTCTTCCCCCCTTGCTACTTTTTTTCACTTTGCATTGAATCTCCTTCATCTCCTCCCAATGTAGATTTCGTTGGTGGAAATGCTGTAAGCGATTCGTCATCTGAAGATCAGGCTTTCGAGCACTGTAGCGTGCATGTGGTTCCTGGGTGATTTCCTTGGTTTTATTTAGATTATGGGAAATGAAACTGACGAGTGTTTTTCTTTTCATATTCATCGAATGGGGATGGTCTTGCCTTTGGATTAGCTCTTATGCCTGAAAGTAACTCTGATGCATTTCTTATGATATTGCTTTAAATTTCATACAATTTATTTCTGTCCCCAGAAAGAGATTCTTAATTTCACAGCACAGTGATGGGGAGAAGTGAGTTTTTTTTTTTTTTTTTTTTAAAAAAAGGATCTTTAACTGCAGGCCTGTGTATTTTTGGCGAGAACTAAAATGTAATTTGCCCTGTCCTCGGCTAAGCCCTGTCTGAGAAAAGGCGTGGGGTCTTGAGTATGACAGGCAGGGTGCACCTTGATCTCTTGGGAGCATCTTCCCTCTA